AATGTTTTTTCGCATGACTGTAATGTTTTTTATACATCATTAATTTATTAATATATAAATGGTGTATTGTTAATTTATATTAACTTATTATTCAAATAACCAATAAAAATACTAAACATACTTTTAATATGTTAACCATCTTTATCTGACTGGTTTATACCATAACACACCAAAAAATAAAATAAACATATCCACCAATATAACAAAAAAAATATTGTAAATAATACGGACAAAACAACTTCATTGTTGCATTCTTCGGCCATATTATATACTGCAATTGGTGGACATAAAAATTCCAAACAACAATAACACGCTTTTGATGATTTTGTTTTATTTGGATAATCAATACTACTATCATCAGTCATTTTTATTTTGATAAGTTTTGAAAAAAATGTAATTATGGATGTTGTGTAGTTTATTTTTAAATTAAACTGTCGAATTAACAATACAAATATATATATTCTATTATGATAAAAATGTAAAAACGTGTTTTAATTACCTTGAATCGAGTTTAATATAATTGCATATACAGTATGTGAGAAAAGTATGTGAGAATGAGAAAACCCTGTGGATTCAACAAAAATTACATATTTGTTTTTCTTTTTTTAAATAAAAATGTTTTTCTTTAAAAAAACAATCTAAATAATATAATTATGAGCTCCAGGAATGTTGCTTTTAGTGGCTTAGACCATACAACACTTGAAAAGAATTTAAAGTATTGTCCTGGTCCAGTGAAAGAAATAGCCCAAAGAACATTCAGCAAACATTGCAACCTTTCTGAATTACCCCTGAATGTTCAGGTGTATTTGATGAATATTGAAAGAGAAATTTTCAATGGAATTAATACGGAAAAGGTGACCGAGAGTAAACTATGTAGAGTCTTTGCTTTAACTTCAAGTCAGTTTAATATCAACAAACGAAGAGGTATGGAGACGGCATTGTTTGGAAAAAAGATAACGGAAGACCGTCACTTTTAACTGAAACACAATGGGAAATTGTCAAGAATTTGATTCTTGATAATGAAAAGTTTCCAGGAAAATGCAAAGCTATCAGCATAACTTATTTGAGGTTGTTTATAATAAAAAACTTCAACGTTGATGTGTCAAACCATGTTATTTATGATAAAATACACAAAATTGGAACTTTTCGATTGTTACTGTGTTTGCTGAAGACCAATCTCGATTGACCTACGACGAAGATGCCGTGTTGAAGTATTACATTGCACTGCCACTTTTTTAAATGGCATCCCATCACCATTTATTTTGAATTTGGATGAGTCGGGGTATCAGCCATGGCCAGACAGGCAAATGGTGAAGGGAGTATTCACTGCTGGTTTTTCCACAGACAGTAAAATGAAATATGGAGTCGAACTTGACATTGCTCGATCCACTGTCGTTTGCACTATTACCCCCTCACGACCTCTTCCTTGTATGATTGTAACAAAATACAAAAGAGTTGCAGTTGAATTCTTGAAATTGGGTTGGATGGAAACGGGAAACATCGTCAGTTATAGCAAAAATGGATTTATCAACAGTGACTTATTTATACAATACATCAACGACGTTGTAGTACCTTATATTGTCGACATGAGAATTAAGACTGGTTATATTGATAAGGCCGTGCTGATATTTGATCAGTGCACGTGCCACTCAATCGAAGATGTGAGGTTGTTGCTCAAGTCGAATGTCCAAGTCAACGAGAAAATCATCAACGTGAACTGTGAAATCGTATGTTTGGTGCCTCACACCTCACATTTAACACAACCATTAGATGTTGGGGTGTTTGCAGCTCAAAAAAGAAGACTGAATTCGTTGTATGCTAAGTTCAGAGATGTCATAAAAATTAAAGATAGAGTTGGCGAGGAAGAAACAACAACGACAGAAAGTGAAGATGTTGAAGAAAAAGAAGAGTCAGATGATGTGATTGGAAACCAAGATCCCATTGAAGAACCAATAATACCTCAACAGTTTAAGGAAATGTTTCAGGAAGTGCTGGCAAATCCACAAGAAGCGATATCACCATTTAAAAAGAAGGCTGGTACGACTGTCAACGAAAGGATGGTGGATGACAACCAATCAGAAGATCACAACGAAATACCAAATGAAACTAAAATTGTTGAATTCGGTGATGGAGAGGACTTAGAAAAAAGTTTGCCAAATACCTCAACTCAATTCTGAAGTCTTATTTCCAAACAACTACTCCGGATGTGTGCACGCAGGCTTTTAGGCAAGTTGGTATTGATTTCAGAATTGTTGATAGTGGTATGAGGGTTGCGTATGTGGATATTGGAGTGTCACGCAGAGTAACAGCAGAAATACCGAAACTGTTAAGTATACCACAGTTATACTCAATTGAATGCGTCAAAACCAAAAGCTTGAAAATATCTGCAGTTCGAAAGCTTTCAATGTGTTTTGAGGGTTATTCGTGTCAGTCTGTTTGCAAGCCGTTAAAAAGAAAAGAACGGGATGTTGTATGTAAATTTGTGAAGAAAAAGACGACCAAAAAAATCTCAAAAAGAACTAAAAATGGGGTTGAGAATTTAATCGATTGATTTTTATCTTTTTAATCAGTTGTATCGCCCAGTTCACATTACTGTTTCCTATCACAGGTCAGAATGGTCACTGTTTGAATCAACATATGTCTGAACTATCATAAGTCCTTCCAATAGAAAATATTCGTTTGTTAAACTTTCTTTCGTATTGAGATATTAACTTGTAGAACTTGCTCGCAAAAACTCTTAAATTAAACGTTGCCTGCTTTGAATCGTCTAGCTGCTATGGCTGATTTGTCCAGTATTCCTGGGATCTTTAGCGTGAGGTCTGAGCCAATTAGTTGGTAAGTGCTGGCTGGCTGTTCACACTCTGAAAGCTGCTTTGTAGGTTTCCAAACAAATTGAAAGAGAAAATGAACTGTAAATAAGTGATTTTTTTATTTGATCTTTTTGAATTTTTTGAAATAAAAAAATAATAATTTTATTACATAAAAGTTACACAATTGTAACTTTTGTTGAATCCACAGGGTTTTGGTAGTATTCTCACATACTATTCTCACATACTGTAATTTTAAATTAAATAAATATTCAAGTAAATAATGTCACATTGTATTAAATTGTAAAATACACTAAATTGAATTTTATGTTTACTGTGATTTATTATTAATTTTAATTTATTTTACTATTAAAATATGTGAAATTATTATGAAGTCAAAGTTAAGTATAGCATAATAAAAACAGTGTAATTATAAACAGGAAAATTATTAAAAAACTTTCGAATTATAGTAAAAATATCAACCAAATAATAACTTCAGTTTTTAATTAACACTTGAAAGGTATATAAAATGCGTTTTTGGGAAATGATGTTTAAGAAAAACGAAACCATTCAAAAATATAATGTTTTATAAAAATTTAAATAGAATAGTAAAAAACCTATAAAATTAAACTAGTCTTAGCTTAAAAATTGAATGGCGGTTGAAGTCAGAACGGACATTTTTTTGTCCGACCGATTTTACACGTCCAAATAATCCTGGATTTTGGTGCATTTGTTGCATATTCCCTTTAAAATTATATCTCCACAAATCGTAATAATTTCAAATTGTGCAACCCGTTGAGTCCGTAAAGCCACATTAAACTGAGGCTTTTTTACTGTTGTTGTAAAATCACGACTCAGACTGTTAAATATTCTTTGTTTCACTTCAACCACAAATTATTCTTTTTTTATCCAAGACTGTGTCTAAATCAATACCATCCGACATGTCACCGAACGTGTCATCACATCGTAAAGCCCTTTAGCAGCGTCAGAGAGTTCATCCATGTTATCGTGGGTTTAGTGTTTTACATTCATTCCGAGGTTTTTCATCTTAAGGCCCAGTAGTTTTATCTTAAACTAATTATTTAAGTGACCCACTTACCAGCTTAGGTTCTAGCTACTAATTCATGTCCCTATATTTTTATTTCAGCTTGTTTTGTCAAGACTTTATGTATTTTTTTGTATTTTTGAAGTTTTTTTATTACTATTATTACAAATATTATAAAAATAATAAATATTTTCATATTATTTTATAGTTAAATTATAGTAAAAATAGTGTATGTTGTAAATTAATAGATTATTTTAAGTTGTATAAGAAAAAATCAAAATAACGGACAAAAATATGTCTTTTTTTGACAATTAAGTGTTAACACGTTTCCTTTTCTCCCTTTTATTTTTTAATAGACTAAAAGAAAAAATTGTTTTTTTGCCATCCTTTGGAAAAAAAACTCCACCAAACCTGTTTCATTTTTTGCTACTTTTTTGCCACACAACTTTTTCTCTAAAAAGATTATAAAATAGAATACAATCCCGAATATATAGTCATTTATTTATAACGGAAATATAAATGCATACAAAAACGGGATATTAGAAATAAATTAACCAAGTTTCCCGTTTATTTTAGAAACAACCGATATATACCAGGTTTACAACATTTGTTTTCTTTACTGTAACTTAAATTTTCTGACTTTGTTTTTGAGGAGCCTCGTCAGTTATTTTTCTAAGCTTTCTATTCATATTCCAAGCATGAGGCCAGCCGGATAGTCTCCATTATGACTTGCCAATATAGGCACTAAAAATTGTCGTTGTTGGAACACAGAGAGATGGCAAAATCGGTCATTGAGGCGCTTGTCGGCTTCTGGTTCAATCTTGTCGAGTTGACAACCGGAAAAGTCGTTAATTATTTTGTAGATGTTCAACAACCAAGACATAAAAACACCTTGGTTTTTTTTCAGGGATTCACCAACAAACCGAAAATAGAGTGCACAAACAAATTGGTCGACGACTTTTAGGCGACCGTAAGAACCGCAAAAAAAAATGCCACAGGAAACGTTGGTGAACGTGGCAACAAAGTGGCTGCAATGGCAGAACAACTGTTTCAAGTTATCAAAGAAAGAAAGACATCGTTTGTGGTTGGGAAGATAAAGACATTCGTTGTTCTCTCAGTCAGAGACAACATCCTCTTTTGGCTATTCGACGTATTTCTTGGTCTGGTTCCAGACAAGTACAAGCATCTATTCAACTTCAGTGAAGAGGCGCCAAAAAAGCAGGTTGCTGAAATGTATCAACAAATTGCTGTCTGCGAGCAAAACTACATAAAGTTTACTAAAATGATAAAAAAAACTTAACAACTTCCAACTCAAAACACAAACTAAAAAAACGAGAAATATATTTTATTAGTCTTATAAAAAAATCCATTCTGTTTTTTGTTTTGTTTTTTAAAATAAAATAAAAAAAAAGAACATATAATATTTAGTAAAATTTCTTATATAAAAATCGTATATATTATTATTGTATATGAATACTTAATAATTATAGTTTATATATATGTATATTTAACTATTTGATAAACAACTTTCTATTTTCCATCTTTCGTTATTTGTTGGGCAAAAATATAATTTTGATTATTTTTTCAAGAATTAAAAAAACAAAAATAAATCTAACGTGTTAAAATGCCAACTCACTAATTTCTACGTTTTCTATATCTTCAAACATCACCTTCCCTCTTTTTATAGATTCATAGAAACAAAAATCATCAACTTTTTTCACACTTTTTGGCACTTTGATAATATCAACTTTTTTGAAATTTCTAAAAC